TATACTTGGTCTTTGATCCATCTTGAGTTTGTTTTTGTAGTGGTGTATGTGGTATGGGTCTTGCTTCATTCTTTTGCAGGTAGACTTTCAGTTTTTTTCAGCACCATTTATTGTAAAGGCTACCCCTTGCCCATTTAATGTGTTTTATTTCTTTCTAAAAACGTAGATACCTATAGGTACTTATTAGTATTTCTGGGTTTTCTATTCTAATTCTTTGGTCTTTATATCTGTCATTGTGCCAGTGCCAGGCTGCTTTAATCACCATGGCTATATAGTACATTTTAAGGTCTGGGAGTGAAAGGCCTATGACTACCATATATACTCGAGTACAAGCCACGCCGAATATCAGCCGAGGCACCTACTTTTACCACAAAAACCACATTAAAATTTTACCACAAAAACTGCATTAAATATGTGCTGAAAAACTCGGCTTACACATGAATATATTTAGTACTTTTTAATTTTTTAATAGTGTTTTACTTATTCTATGTTTCTTTCCTTTCCATATAAAGTTGGTAACTAGTTTTTCCATTTCTTTGAAAAATTGTGGTGGGATTTGGCTCAGAATTACACTGAATTTGTAAAATATTTTTGGTAATATTGACATTTTCATAATATTTAGTCTGTTTATCCTGGAACATGGTCATTGTTCCATTTGTGTAAGTTCCTCTTGGTATATTGAAGAAGCATTTTGTAGTTTTTTTTGGATAAATCTTTTGTTCCTCTGGTCAGATTTATTCCTAAATATTATATCTTTTGTGTAGTTATTATAAAAGGTATTGTTCTTTTAATATCTGTATCATCTTCCTTAATATGTAAGAATCCAACTGATTTTTAAATGTTGATCTTATAGTCTGCTACACTGCCCAATTTTTCGATTAGTTCTAGCAATTGTTTAATTGAATTTTTGGGGTCTTCTATACATAAGATTATGCCATCTGCAAATAAAGAGATTTTTCTTTCTTCTGTGCCTATCTGGATACCTTTGATTTCTTTTTGATGTCTTATGGTTCTAGCTAAAACTTTCAGAACTAGACTAAATAAAAATCATGATAAAGGGCAACCTTGTCTAGTTCCCAAAGAGGAAATGATTTCAGTTTCTCTCTGTTCACTGAGATGAAGGCTATTGGTTTCATGTATATGGCTCTTACCTATTTTATTGAGTGTTTTTTATCAGGAATAAATGTTTAATTTTATTTAATGCCTTTTGTGCATCAATTGATATAATCATATCATTCTCCTTTGTGAGATGAATTACATTGAGTTTTTCTAATATTAGACCAACCTTGAATATTTGATACGAATCCCACTTGATCATGAGTCTTTTAAAAATGCTCAGTTGAATTCTGTTGGCTAATATTTTATTGAAGATCTTGGCATTTATATTCATTGGGGCTATTGATCTGTAATGATCCATTCAGGTGATGTCTTTGACCTGTTTCGGCATCAGAGTTATAGTTGCTTCGTGAAATGAACTTGGTAGTATATTGTCCATTTGTATATGGTGGAACAGTCTATATAAAATTGCTGTCAAGGCTTCTCTAAATGATAGAATTCCCCAGTGAGACCATCTGGCCCCCAACTTTATGATGTCGGGAATATTTTTATGATGAGATCTATTCTCTCATATTATAGTCTTGCTGAGATTTTCTATGTCATTCTGTGATAATCAAGTAAAGGCCCTCCCAGCCTCAGGGTGGCGAGGCCCATGTATCCCCCAAGCCAAGTTTCCAAGTTCAGGGTCTGGAGCCCAGCCTTCTACAGTCTTTCTGCAGCTCCCAAAATTGGGTTGAGAGAGGAATCGGGAGTGACTCTGACTACTCCGCCATGTTGTTGATATCCACTCTAAAGAGAACCTGTAGGACTCTCTTTGCCAGAAAGATTCACTCTTTATCAGAAAGATTCACAACATTTTCACAGTTGTAATTTTTATTTTATTAGGGCACCCTTTTCTTCCCCAAATAATGTATTTAATGTATCATTTTTTTAAATCATTTTATTGGAGGCTCATACAACTCTTATCACAATCAATACATACATCCATTGTGTCAAGCACATTTGTACATTTGTTGCCATCATCATTCTCAAAACATTTGCTTTCTACTTGAGTCCTTGATATC